AACTTGCCCGTTGAAGTCGCCTGCAAGTACAACTATGTCAGAGCTTTCACTCATCCGAATGAGATCGGTGAGTTCATCGTAGAAAGCGTCCTTTTGGGTATCAGAATTGCAATTGGTCGGTGCATATGCTAATACGATAAACAAACACCTTTACTTCCCTTCCGGACGCTGATTGAACACTGGAGACGCATTGCACATAAACTAATGTTGACGGGGATCCAATCGATAAGAGAGGACTCCGCCCTGTCACTGAGTACAATACCTACCCCGCGCTGACCTACTGAACGAGCTTCATCGTCGCCTGATGTGCGAAGAACGTATCTCGTCGACAAATCTGGCGCGCTCAATTGGCTTAGAGTAGTAGGATTCTGGATCCGAGTTTCGATATGCAGCAAATATCGATTCCTAAGGATTCCATTGTACTAGCCAGACAAGCTTGTTGACCCAACTGCATCAAAGTTCTCACGTTGAAGGCCCCCAGATTCAGTGATTGACGAGGCTTCAGAATCTGCAATCCATTCCGTGGCAACTCACTTACAGTGATATTCGGCAATGACCTTGGGCGAGCGACAACCAAGTTGCTCGAGGGAATATTACAGGTCAGTAGAAGGGGTAAAGGGAGTGGGTTGGAAACGGAAGACAGAGTTAAACAAAGGTTGGGATATCTGAGGAGTAGCCCACTTATCACTACCCACCCCGCTCGATGCAATGGGCAGCGCGGTCTTGATTATCCTGCTCGACGACCGATGCAGTATGGAATTACTTTTATTCTGTGTATGCACAAAACTTATCCACCTGCTCTATTACTTCCCCAGTTAGAATGAGGCTGGGTGCTAAAACAACCCAATCGTACAGTAGCATTTTACACTTTGAAGGCGCAAAACACATGCCGAACATGGCTACACTGGCACTCCAACTTTCCAGAAACGCTTGTAACTTACCTGGATCTTAGTAGCACAATGTCGTCTGCATACTGTAGATCAGACAGCTTGCCACCTAAGAGTAAATCGATGCCACCATCCTAGCACGATGATAGAGCTGTTTCCATAATTAGATCTATAACAAAGTTAAATAGCAGAGGGGAGAGAGGGCAACCCTGTCGAACACTACTTTCTGTGGTGAACTCGGGCGAAAAAGTGTTGTAAGCTCGGACTCGGCTTCGGCTATGAGTATAGAGGGATC